ATTAGTTTTATGGATTGTTTCCTTTGCCGTGCAGAAACTTTTAATCTTGATGAGGTCCCAATAGTTCATTTTTGCTCTTGATTCCCTTGCCTTTGGAGATGTGTCGAGTAAGAAATTGCTGTAGTTGAGGTCAAGGAGGTTGTTTCCTGCTTTCTCCTCTAGGGTTTTGATGATTTCCTAACTCACATTCAGGTCCGTCATCCATTTTGAGTTTATTTTTGTGTATGGTGTAAGAAAGTGGTCTAGTTTCATTCTTCTGCATGTTGCTGTCCATTCTCCCAGCACCATCTGTTAAAGAGGCTGTCTTTTTTTCCATTGGATGTTCTTCCTGCTTTGTCAAAGACTAATTGGCCACACATTTGTGGGTCCAATTCTGGGTCCTCTATTCTATTCCATTGGTCTATGTGTCTGTTTTTGTGCCAATACCATACTGTCTTGATGATTACAGCTTTGTAGTAGAGGCTAAAGTCTGGGACTGTGATGCCTCCCATTTTGGTTTTCTTCTTCAATATTACTTTGGCTTTTTGGGGTCTTTTGTGGTTCCATACAAATTTTAGGATTGTTTGCTCTAGCTTTGAGAAGAATGCTGGTGCAATTTTGATTGGAATTGCATTGAATATGTAGGTTGCTTTGGGTAGTATTGACATTTTAACAATATTTATTCTTCCAATCCATGATTCATGAGCATGGAATGTTTTTCCATTTTTTTGTATGTCTTCTTCAATTTCCTCCATAAGTTTTCTATAGTTTTCATCATACAGATATTTGACATCTTTGGTTAGGTTTATTTCTAGATATTTTATGGGCTTTGGTGCAATTATGAATGGGATCAGTTTCTTGATTTCTATTTCTGTTGTTTCATTATTGGTGTATAAAAGTGCAACCGATTTCTGTGCGTTGATTTTGTACCCTGAAACTTTGCTGAATTCATGGATCAGTTCTAGTAGAGTTCTGGTGTAGTCTTTTGGGTTTTCCATATAGAGTATCATGTCATCTGCAAAAAGTGAAAGTTTGACTTAATCTTTGCCAATTCTGGTGCCTTTTATTTCTTTTTGTTGTCTGACTGCTGATGCTAGGACTTCCAGCACTATGTTAAGCAACAGTAGTGATAATGGACATCTCTGTTGTGTTCCTGATCTCAGAGGGAAAGCTCTCAGTTTTTCCCCATTGAGGATGATATTAGCTGTGGGGTTTTCATAAATGGCTTTTATGACATTTAAGTAAGTTCCTTCTATCCTGACTTTCTCGAGGGTTTTTATTAAGAAAGTATGCTGTGTTTTGTCAAATGCTTTTTCTGCATCTATTGACAGGATTATATGGTTTTTATCTTTTCTTTTGTTAATGTAGTGTATCATATTGATTGATTTGCAAATATTGAACCAGCCCTGTAACCCAGGAATGAATCCCACTTGATCCTGATGGATAATTCTTTTTATATGTTGTTGAATTCTATTTGCTAGTATCTTGTTGAGGATTTTTGCATTCATATTCATCAGGGATATTAGCCTGTAGTTCTCTTTTTTTTTTTTGCTGGGTCCCTGTCTCGTTTGGAAATCAAAGTGATGCTGGCTTCACAGAATGAGTCCGGAAGTTTTCCTTCCATTTCTATTTTTTGGAATAGCTTGAGAAGAATGGGTATTAACTCTGATTTAAATGTCTGGTAGAATTCCCCAGGGAAGCAATCAGGTCCAGGGCTCTTATTTGTTGGGAGATTTTTGATAACTGATTCAATTTCTTCACTAGTTATGGGTCTGTTCAGATTTTCTATTTCTTCCCATTTGAATTTTGGTAGTACGTGTGTGTTTAGAAATTTATCCATTTCTTCTAGGTTGTCCAGTTTGTCGGCCTATAATTTTTCATAGTATTCCCTGATAATTGCTTGTATTTCTGAGGATTGGTTGTAATAAATCCATTTTCATTGTGATTTTGTCTATTTGGGTGCTGTCTCTTTTCCTTTTGAGAAGCCTGGCTAGAGGTTTATCAATTTTGTTTATTTTTTCAAAAAACCAACTCTTGGTTTCATTGATCTGTTCAACTGTTGTTGTTGTTGTTTTTATAATTCTATATTGTTTATTTCTGCCCTGATCTTTATTATTTCTCTTCTTCTTCTGAGTTGGTGGTGTTCTTGCTTATTTGCTTCAAGTTCCTTTAGGTGTGTTGTTAGATTTTGTGTTTGCGCTTTTTCTAGTTTCTTGAAATAGGCCTGGATTGCAATGTATTTTCCTCTTAGGACTGCCTTTGTTGCATCCCAAAGAGTTTGGATTGTTGTATTTTCATTTTCATTTGTTTCCATATGTTTAAAAAAAATGTTTTAATGTTTTGTTATTTTTTTTTGAGAGAGAGAGAGAGAGAGACAGACAGCATGAGCAGGGGAGGGTCAGAGACAGAGGGAGACACAGAATCAGAAGCAGGCTCCAGGCTCTATCAGCACAGAGCCTGATGTGGGGCTCGAACCCACAAACCACAAGATCATGACCTGAGCCGAAATCGGATGCTTAACCGACTGAGCCATCCAGGTGCCCCTGTTTCCATATATTTTTAAATTTCTTCTCTAATTGCTTGGTTGGCCCATTAGTTCCTTAGTAGGCTGTTCTTTAACCTCCATGTTTTTGGAGGTTTTCCAGACTTTTTCTGTGATTGATTTCAAGTTTCATAGCATTGTGATCTGAAAGTGTGCATGGTATGGTCTCAATTCTTTTGTATTTATTGAGGGCTGCTTTATGACCCAGTATGTGATCTATCTTAGAGAATCTACCGTATGCACTCGAGAAGAAAGTGATTCCATAGCTTCAGGATGTAGAGTTCTAAATATATCTGTCAAGTCTATCTGGTCCAAAGTGTCGTTCAGGTTTATTGTTTCTTTAGTGATTTTCTGTCTAGTTGATCTATCCATTGCTGTAAGTGGAGTATTAAAGTCCCCTGCTATTAGCACATTCTTATCAATAAGATTGTTTATGTTTATGATTAATTGTTTTATGTATTTAGGTGCTTCCAAATTTGGTGCATAGACATTTATAATTGTTAGTTCTTCCTGATGGATAGTCCCTATAATTATTACATAATTCCCTTCTTCATCTCTTGCTACTGCCTTTAACTTTAAAGTTCAGTTTGTCTGATATAAGTATGGCTACTCCGGCTTTCTTTTGACTTCCAGTAGCATGTTAGATGTTTCTCCATCCACTCACTTTTTTTTTTTTATTTTTAGTGTTTATTTATTATTGAGAGACAGAGACAGAGCACGAGCAGGGAGAAGGGCAGAAGAGAAGGAGACACAGAACCCTAAGCAGCTCCAGGCTCTGAGCTGTCAGCACAGAGACTGATGTGGGGCTTGAACCCACAAACCATGAGATCATGACCTGAGCTGAAGTTGGGCACTCAACCGACTGAGCCACCCAGGTGCTCCTCCATCCCCTCACTTTCAATCTGAAGGTGTCCTTAGGTTTAAAATGAGTCTCTTGTAGACAGCAAATAGATGGATTTTGTTTTTTTATCCATTCTGGTACCCTATGTCTTTTGATTGGAGCATTTAGCCCATTTACATTCAATGTTATTATTGAAAAATATGGATTTAGAGTCATTGTGTTCTCTGTAGGATTTATGCTTGTAGTGGTGTCTCTGGTACTTTGTGTTCCTTGCAACATTTCCCTCATAGAATCCCACTTAGGATTTCTTGTAGGGCTGGTTTAGTGGTGATGAATTCCTTCAATTTTTGTTTGTTTGGGAAAACCTTTATCTCTCCTTCTATTCTGAATAACAGGCTTGCTGGATAAAGGATTCTTGGCTGCATATTTTTCCTGTTTATCACATTGAAAATTTCCTGCCATTCCTTTCTGGCCTGCCAAGTTACAGTAGATAGGTCTGCTATTACCCTGGTATGTCTCCCTTTGTATGTTAGGGTCCTTTTATCCCTAGCTGTTTTCAGAGTTCTCTCTTTATCCTTATATTTTGCCAGTTTCACTATGATATGTCATGCAGAAGATCAATTCAAGTTACATCTGAGGCGAGTTCTCTGTGCCTCTTGGATTTTAATGTCTGTTTCCTTCCCCAAATTGGGGAAGTTCTCGGCTATAATTTGTTCAAGTACCCCCTTCATCCCCTTTCTCTCTTCTTCTTCTTCTTTTGGAATTCCTAGGATACAGATATTGTTTCATTTGAAACATTACTGGTTCTCTAATGTTTGCTCTTCCAGATTAAGGGGACTTTCTTTAAAGATATTTATAATGTACAGAAATTGATACAATGTTCCTCTGTAAATCAGTTGAAGCATTTAACTTTTCTCTTTACCTGAACCCTCTGAACTTCAAAAAGTCTCAGTCTCAGAACTTCCACAGCAATCATATTTATCTGCATAAGTTCAGTGAGAATCAGTTCTCCTTGTAAAAGCCACCATTGAAAAGACTTTTTATTTTACCGAAGTTTTGACTGGAATATCCTATTTGAGAGAAATGCATAGTCCCAGATATGACCATATGGCTTTAAGGAACTAAGGTTGACTTTATGAAACATGGAGCCAATTAAGTCCCTTGGAAATGTTGGCCTGATACCTTGATTACAGAATTCCCAGCAGCCTTACCAGGTGAGTAAAGAATGTGACTTCCGGGCATGTGCAGGGACCTCAGGATATCTTTGGATCCCCTATCTCCCCAAAACTTCACCACTGGTGAAGTGGGGGTTCTAGCACCTCAGCGCTCCAACCTTCTCCACCTGCCTAGCCTTGGCTGGTCCTCTGCCTTTGGACCTGCTGCAGGTGGCTGAATATGAGTGTGAGATGTGCAATGTGGCCTCTCAGTATTTTAGGAGGCAAGGGCAAGTGAGGGCAGCTGCTGGTAGGGGTCGGGCCTGGAGTGGGGAACTAGATGTGTTCAGTCAGAGCTAGACCTTGCTTCTATGGCCTCCATCCCTTTCTGGGGACTACAGTTCCTGGAAGTGATGCTAATTGAAGCCTGCCCTTTGCTCTTTTCTCTCTCAGAGGGCCCATAGATCAAGGAGCACAGACTGGGGACTGGGGGACATGTGTTTATTTAGTAAGCCAGAGAGATTCTGTCAACAGGGCAGTCTGGGGACCAGCTGGTGGGCTGTGCAGTAGGAAGGGTCTCTTGCCTCTCTCAGTGGTGTCCAGGCTGGTGGGGACAGCTGGGTCATGCCCTGGGTAGAGGTCATTGAGAGGAGGATGGGGTGGAGAGAGCCAGAGAGCACCTGAGAGGGAATCAAGGGATTAAAGAGGGCAGTAGTGCTGGGCAAGCAGGACAAAGGCAGACCTGGGACCCCCTTCCAGTTACACCCTGGCTCCCATCAGCTCCCGCTCCAGCCATACTTACGACACACATTCTCAGTAATTGGCACACGCATCTGCAGGGGACAGAGTAGTTAGTATGGGAACAGGTGTGTGGGGTCCCTGACCTTCATGGCCCATGCCCTGCCCCTGGGCTTCCCTGGGCCCTAGTTTGGCCCAGACACAGAAGCTCTGGGGTTCCCTTCAGGGATGGTACAGGAGAGATGGATGATGGGGCAGGGAACTAGAGGACAGGGCTGAGGACAAGCAGACCTGGGTGACACCCATTCTCCGAAGGAGGCAGGTGAGGCCCAGCCACCCTCCTGCTTGGGCACCAAAGTCTCCTTCCTGTTTACTTGCTGAGTCCTGACAGCCCCTCAGCCTTGGGGAGGCACCTGCCCAGGCCAGGCTGCCTGAGGACAAGGGCACCTCCCAAGTCAGTGGTGAGCCAGGCCCAGGACAAAGGGGGAGGTGGCCTGAAGAAACAGAAGTGGCTGGCAAGGGAGGTGGCCAGGCAAGGAGTCTGAGGAAACGTGGCTCCAGGTATGCAGTGCTCTTGTGGGCAAGCCTGAGCTCTTGTGAAGGAGGAACACATGGGAACCAGATCCCTGGGTGCACCAGGGGATTCCTGAACCCAAAGTGGCTCCTGGGGCTCCAGTGGCCACAGCAGGGGACTGCATCCCTCCTCTCCCCTCTTCCCTAGAAAGGCAACATCATTCCTGGGCAGTCCCCATGTGCCCTTCTCTTCCCCTAGCTGGTGATTACCGTTGGGGAGAGTGAATACGACGTTGTTTTCTGTGAGGCCCAGGGATTTGGCGAAGCTGATGAAGAGTTCCTTCAGCTCAGTAGGCAGCTCCTTGGTCCTCCCTGTGGCCAAGATGGGTGGTGAGTGGCTGGCGAAAGCTCCATAGATATTGTGGAACCCGTGAACGAGGCCTCAGACCCCTTCTTCATGAGGGTTCTGTGGAAAGACCTCTCTTCTGCCACTTGGGGCACGGAGTGAAGGGGACCTTGGGGGCTGGGTGTGATGGACCTCTTCTCCCCCAGCATGGCCAAGAGCTGAGTCCCAGAAGGGGTAAGACCCACCATAGAGGGCGATCTTGAGGTGCTCCTGCTTGTTGTTGTAAACTTTCTTGAAGTACATTATGGCAAACTGATTGTAGTCTGTCGTCACCACTCGTGTAGTGTACCTCAGGTAATTATTGTAACCTGCATGGTGGATGGTGAAGGATCAGCCAGCCCTTACTGGGCAGAGGGAGCTACTGCTTCCTCCCTGGCCTCCACAGTTTGGCATCTGTGTGGAGGGGAATGGGGTCCATGCCCCCAGAGATCCATCCCACTCAGAACTCACGTTCAATGTTGCCCAGGTTTAATTGGCCTACATGCAAATTTATGGCGTGATTTTTGGTCCAGTGGTCACAGTTCTGGCCCCTGTGGAAGTAAGACATGGGTGGGTAAGAAGGTGGCAGCCCACTGTGCCACAGCAGGAGGTCCACCCCCCAACCCTGAGATGGGCCTGGATTTTCCCCACTAAGCCCATCCCTGACTATCCCTGCCTACTCTGCCCTGAGACACCTGACTTGCTCAGACTTTCTCCAGCACCTACTGTCCTTCCTTCTTAGGGGAGTTTCCCCTTGGTGGCCTTTGCTCCATGCTGTCTCCCCCCCAACCTGAGGCATTTGTTGATTATCTTTTTTTTTTAACTTTTCTTAGATGTTCATTAATTTTTGAGAGAGAGACCCAGCATGAGCCTGTGTGTGGGAGTGCAGAGAGAGAGGGAGACAGAGAATCCAAAGCAGGCTCCAGCCTCTGAGCTGTCAACACAGTACCCAACCAGGGCATGAACCACAAACCATGAATTCATGACCAGACAAAAAGTTGGACGCTTAATCAGCTGAGCCACCCAGCTGCCCTTCTCCCCTATTCTTATTCTGTGGGCTCCCATGGAACCTCTCCTGGGGGAATCACCACTGAAGCTCCAGTCTGCTGGAGGCCAAAGCGTCCCTTAGCTATTGGGCCAACCCTGACCTCCCACCTGCGTTCCATCTGGTCCCCTGAGAACCCAGAGCCTATCTCCCCACACCTGTCTTTCTTCTGCTACTTCTATGACAGATGCTCTAGCCCAATCCCCAAGTGCCAGAGGCAGAAACAAAGAGGCTCTGGGTAATCCTTGGCTCCTCTCTCTAGGTCCTAATCTGTCCCTGCTCTGGTCATCTCCCACCTATGACTGATCAGCCTTCTGGGCTGCACACCATCATTCCTGTCCCTGCTGCAGCCAGACCCACTCCTCACCAGTATCTGAGGCCCCTGCCACTGTGGCCAATCCCCCCTCCAGACTGCTCATGAGCTCCTGCTCAGGGCAACCATGCGATGGCTCACCATTTCTAAAAGAGGTGGCTAACTCTGACTCAGTCCACCAGCCCTTCCATGAAGGACCCAAGCCTCCTTCTGATGCATGTTGGTTCCTCAAGGCCCAGCCCATAGACCACCTCTCTGGAAGCCCTTGACACACCCTAATGGGATCCCAGGCTGGATCCAGTGACCCTCCTCCAATTCTACAACACCCTGCACTCTCTTTGTCTTGTCATTGATGACCACCTTTGTCTATTACAATACTGTCTTGTGTCTGTGCTGAAGTGGCCAAGAAATGTTGATCTAGTGAATAAAAGAAGAAATAAATACAGGGATCCAGTACCCAGAGGTAGGATGAATGATCATCTTTCAGGTTTGGTCACCCCTTGGCTATGACATCAGTCTCCCTCTTGTACCTCCAGTACAGTCCTTTAGACCCCCCATGTTTCCCTAGGAGGAGGTAGCACTCACCAGCCCAGGGCAGAGGTGAAATTGTAGCTGTTGTCTTCGTTCAGCTCATAGGTGTCAATGTACATCTTCAACTTGTTATTATCTTCTTTTTTAAAACCATACCCTGCCACTCCTATGACGTACCATTTCCCCTGGAACTACAGTGGGGACTGATGACAGGCAGAGCCAGGAGCAGCCTCAGGGATCCCTCCCGCTCCATGCCTGCAGGCACCTCTAGGCAGCCTGGTCTTGAACCAGAAGCTTCTATAATAGGGCTGCAGGGACCCAGACCGGCCATCCAGGCTGGGCTGATGAAGCTGGCAGGAGCTGGTGCCCATCAGGCCAGGCAGGAGCCCTGAGTGTGTCAGGGACAAGGGTGACACTTGACAAGTGGCAACCTGGCATCCCTGAGCTTCAGTTTCCTCACCATGTAGAGGGCCTGAAGAACTTCCCACCCTGCATGGACTGCGGGGGTTATGGGAGAGAGTGTGAACCAGGGGAGTTCTGCTCACTGACCCTCTTGTCAGCAATATTGAGTGTAGATGGGGGCATGGGGTGTCTCTTACATCAAGACACTCGAGGGCAGACTGAGTTCAAGCCTGAGCCCATCCTGCCTCTCCTCCCCTCTCTTCACATTCTTCCCAGGGCCTCCCTGTAGCTGCTCCTCCAGATCCCTTACCTGCTTATTCTGGAAGTCAGGCTCCACAGGGAGACTGAGCAGAGGCGGAGCTGGGATCATGGTTGGAGTGGAGTCCTGGGCCTGGGTGTGCAGCGCCCCCCACAGGGCAAGGCCCAGCCACAGAGGACCTAGGGCCATGACTTCAGGGCTGAGGAAGCAGGCACTGCTCCAGATATTCCCTGAAAGAGGGGATGAGTGAGGAGGCTTCTCGTGGGGATGCTATTTATGGTCTCTGTGGCCAATGGCTCACTCCAGGGTGGAGCGAGTTATTCTTTGACAAATCCTGGAAGGGTGAGGCAATTGCCAGCAACTCGTGCTGAAGACCATGGCCACCTCTGCCCTTTCCTCCAGGTCAGGGTTATGCAAGATGAGGAGCAGGAAGGTCCAGAAGGCTTGAGGATGCATTCCCCATATCTCCACATCTCTGGCAGGGACAGTGACTCCCTCCACACTTTCTTCTCCCTGGTTAGCACTGTGCGAGGACAGGGGCCTCAGATCTGGACCAACTATCTGACCACCAGGAGTCTCTCAACGGGGCCCCAAGTGCAGGGTGGGGTAAGTGTGGTGGGACCCCCTTCCTGCACATGATGAAAGCAGAGAATGCTTCATACCAACAGAGCCAATGCTGCTTTCTGGTTCTCCAAAGGGAATGGAAGGGGAGAAGCTGAAAGAAATTCCTAGCAGGGAAGAACAGGGTGTACCCTTTGCTCCTCATGGAGCCCAGATCCTGGCCCTCTCAAGGGCCCACACCAGGCCCTGGCACAGTGTGAGACATCCTTCCCGTCCTCACACTCCCCCAACAGCTGGCTGGGGGGTGTTCCTGATGAGGGAGCATAATGTAAGCTAGGGCAAAGCACATGCTAGCATGCCCCTCCCCTCAGGTGGGATTTGGGTGACATTGCTCAGGCACTCCTGACCGCCAAAGAACAATGGAAAGGAAAGAAAACAAATGGTTAACTGATAGAGATCACAGTCCTGCAGGACTTGTACTTATGTCCTAGTACATTAGAAGAAAAAGGGACTCTTCTAAATAGCCTAAGTTTCCTGAACCAGGAAACTTAGAGGGCTGGAAGGTGTTCTATACTCAGTTTCCTGGAACCCCAACACCACCCTCCCTCCATAGTGATATGGAGAGCAAAGGCAAGCAGGAAATGGCAGATGGCATTAAATTTTATTATGACCTGCAGCCCATTAACACATACTTGAGGCACATATGGAGCAAAACCTTTCTCCGGGAATTCCCTACGTCTGAATGTTAATGCTCTGTTAGAGAGCAAAACAATCTTAGGTTAACAATACCTAGGCCTCCAGTAATGTGGGAGTCTACTTGAGCATATCAAAATCCCATTAGAAACTTCCTCTTGACTTTATGTCCCCCAACCCCATGGCATATAACCAGTCACTCTTCACAACCCCAGTGTAGCTCTTTATGCCCAAGAGCCCTGTCCCTGTGGCTTAATAGAAAAACATTTTTTGACCCAAGGATTTCTCAAGAATTCTTTCTTTGGGGCGCCTGGGTGGCTTAGTCGGTTAAGCGTCCGACTTTCGCTTAGGTCATGATCTCGCGGTTCGTGGGTTCGAGCCCCGCGTCGGGATCTGTGCTGGCTGCCAGCTCAGCCTGGAGCCTGTTTCGGAGTCTGTGTCTCCCTCTCACTCTGACCCTCCCCTGCTCATGCTGTCTCTCTCTCTCCGAGAAATAAATAAAAATATTAAAAAAAAAATTCTTTCTTGGCTGTAGACTCTGAACCCCCAACATTCAAAAGTCCCATCATCCCCACCATGAATCAGCCCCTCCCCTCCTTCATGTCCTATTAGCAGGGTGGATCCAGATCTCAGCTGGCCCCTAAGGGACTTGTCCCCTCCTGTGGCTCCAATGAACAGAAACCCCATCTAGACATGCCAGTTACAAATTGGACAAGTTGACATAGTAGAGCTCTGAGGCTACAGTCCCAGTTGCATCCTGGTGGGGGACAATGGGGACAGGCATCTGGGCTGTGGGGTGGGGGGCTTCAGATCCAAGGGGGGCTCTCTACCCTGCCTCTCTTTGGGTACTTTGGGTCACAGAAAGTTCAAGAACTCATCCTTATCCTTAAGTGATAAATGATACCATCTGCCATCTCTGGCCGTAGTTTTGGACTGTGGACCCCAGGGCCTAGGCCTGGGCACTCAGACCTGTCCCTGCCGTGTCTGATTTCAGCTTTGTCCAGGAGGGAAGTAGTTTCCTCATAGGGGCTTTGCTGTCTGTGGGAGGCACTGCTGAGTCCCAGGCCCTGGGTAGTGTCGCCTAGATGTGACCCCGAGGGCTGGAGGTAATGGAATGCCTGACTTGAGGCTGACGTGAGGGCTCACTGGCCTCAAATGAGACTCCCGGAAACATCATTAGTTCTACCTTCTACAGGGGAACCAGCTCCCCTAGCCTGGGCTTTGTGTGGCTGGCCCAGAGAGAAGGGACTCTGGGTGAAGAGGGAGCATAATGTACAAGCTAGAACCACTCCCCCCACCCCATAGGGATATGTGTGACATTCCTCTGGCTTCCCAAGAACAAAGGAAAGGAAAGAAAACAAATGGTTAACGGATAGAGATCCCAATCATGCAGGACATGAGTCTCCATCAGTTTACAAATATCTTAGTAAATTAGAAGAAAAAGGCAATCTTATCAATAGTCTCATCTCCAGAGGTCTATAGACTCAGTTTCCTGGAGCCCCTATTAACACCCTCCCCACCATGGTGATGTGGGGAAGAAAGGCAAGAAGGAAACGACGGGTAAAATTAAATTTCCTAATAGCTTGCAGCAAGTGACAAATAATTGAGGCAAATATAGTGTACAGCATTTCCCCAGGAACCCCTACCATTCCTAATGTTAATGCTTTACTAGAGGTAAAAGAACCTAAGCTTGAAAATAGCAAGGTAGGGGGTGCCTGGGTGGCTCGGTTAAGCGTCCAACTTCGGCTCGGGTCATGATCTCACGGTTCGTGGGTTTGAGCCCTGCATCGGGCTCTGTGCGGGCAGCTAGCTCAGAGCCTGGAGCCTGCTTCAGATTCTGTGTCTCCCTCTCTCTCTGACCCTTTCCTGCTCACGCTGTCTCTCTCTCTCTCAGAAATCAATAAAACATTAAAAATTAAAAAAAAAAGAAAATAGCAAGGTAGATTAGGAGTCCTCTAGCGTATCAAACTCCTTCTGGAGGCCTCCTTCCCCTTTGATTTACCTCCCCCAACTTCCTAGTATATAACCAGTCACTCTTCCCAACTTCAGTACAGCTCTTTCTGCCCACAAATTCTGTCCCCATGCTTTAAAAAAATAACTTTTTTTTTTTTTCACCAAAGACACCCTCAAGAATTATTTCTTGGTTGTCAGCTCTGGAACTCTCCACCCCACTAAAAAAACTCACCATTTGGCGTCCAACGTAGGGGTGTGGGTCTTTTCATCTGGACTCTGAGCTTTGGTGCAAATGTGGTAAGCGCTTTCTCTTTTCTTCCTTTATTCTTATTTTAGAGGCTTTTCAAAAAGTATGGTCTTATTGCAACACTTTCCTGTCCATTGCTCAGTCTGTGCTCCTCTAGCCCGTGGCTACTCTACAGGGAGGAGAAAGCCTGCTTTTTGGCTAGAAGTGAATTCCCAGGCTGGAATGGTAAAAAGACCCAGAAACTTGTGTCCCCTCTTTATTCCTGTTCTTATACATAGTTGTCTGTGTTGGGCACGGGACAGTCACTTAAGTGACCATCACAGATGCAAATCTTAAGACTCCTGTGTTGGTCTAAAGTGATCCCAACCACATCTCTGGTCTAGCTGCTTCTGGCTGTGGAACCTCCCGGGGAAGCCCACAAAACCACTACCTAATTGAATTAAAACCCAACTGGGGACCATTTCCTAAGAAGTTGGCTGTAAAGACTATATGTGTTGGCATGTAGAGTAGATCATGATGGGTTTCTGTCTTCACTGTTTTCTGTCAATGTCCTCTACTAACTACTACTAAAATTAGAAAATCTGGAAATTCCCCCTTGTAAAACTTTTCCAGTGTTTTCTGAGGCTAAAAAGGGTGGTTTCTTCAGTCTTCTCAGCAAGGCAAACTAGGTCCATCTGCTGGCCCCTTTTGTAGCCTAGGATGTGATGGGAAAGCAGGGATGCCAGCATCCCTCCTACAGAAGCCATTAATGGCTGGTAGGTGATAATAGTGATTTGGCTTCAGGTACACCTTAGGTCACTTTGACACCTAAGGAACTTCTGATATATCCTGCATGGGTGATGCCACCTGGGAGTTGGGGGGGCGGTGGGTTTTTGTGGTAATGGACCATCTCTACTTTTCTCTCCCTAGGAGGAAAATGGGACCGTCTCCTCAGTCCCCAAGGACTTGCTCTTAAGATGCCTTTTCAACCCACAGGAAACAATCTAGATTGCAAAATTTAGGAAAGGACTGATGTCCTGTAATACTGTGTGGCCTTAGTAGGATCTAGCAGTTAGATGTCTTCTGCAAGAAACAGAATTAATGCACAGAGGTACCCTAGGTCCAGGCCTTCACAGATCGAAGTCTGGATCTGGACAAAAAGATCTGTTGCAGAATGTGTTTGCCCAAATGTGTTTGGATAGTAAACTCCCTCCTGGCATAGTTGATGCCTGAACAGGCCTCCTGATGGAACTCTGTTGCTAGAGGAAACACAGGCCATCCCTAACAAAGGGAAATGCTGACTCTCCCTGTTCCTCCTCCTAATAGATGGGGAGGGGGGGGGAGCTCTCCCTCATTCATTTCCTGAGTTAATGGCTACAATTGGAGTCCATTGTGGTTAGTCTACCTCATGACGTGGACTTTAAAGAATATTCCCAAGCAGCTGCCAAACTCCCTTTGTTTTGGGGAAATCCCTTGTCTTCTCTAGCCTGACATAGCCTCCCTATTTCCACTTTGGTGGAAATGAAACACACAAACAAACATAGGGTCTCCTCTTTCTGACTTGATAGGGTTTAGAACCAAGAATCCTCGGGGCGCCTGGGTGGCTTAGTCGGTTAAGCGTCCGACTTTCGTTTAGGTCATGATCTCGCGGTTCGTGGGTTCGAGCCCCTCGTCGGGCTCTGTGCTGACTGCCAGCACAGAGCCTGGAGCCTGTTTCAGAGTCTGTGTCTCCCTCTCTCTCTGACCCTCCCCTGCTCACGCTGTCTCTCTCGCGCGCTCTCTCTCTCAGAAATAAATAAAAATATTAAAAAAAAAAAAAAGA